AGGAGTCTTTGGAGGGGTCTTCTCATGTCTAATACCATGCTTCCTACAATACTCATCAAAAGGGCCACTATACTCTCCCCCGTTGTCAGAACGGACACACTTCAGTTTCTTTCCAGATTGTCTCTCAACTAATGCATGAAATTCTTTAAACTTATCAAGCACTTGATCTTTGGTCTTCAAAGCATAGACCCAAAGTTTCCTGGAATGATCATCAATGAATGTCACGAAGTAATAAGCACCACCCCATGATCTCACCTTCAAAGGTCCACACACATCAGAATGCACCAACTCAAGTAACTCAGCACGTCTCGAAGAAGAATGCTTCTTGAAGGATATTCTGGTTTGTTTTCCTGCCAAGCAGTGATAACACTTCTCCAACTCTGCATTCTTCAAACCAGGCAGTACATCTTTCTTAGCCAAAAGATTCAGCCCCTTCTCACTAATATGACTGAGCCTACGATGCCACAAATGTGATGCTTTTGAACTTTCTATAGCATTCACATCACCAGAGAGTACACTTTTCAATCGATACAGTTTGGACTCCTTTTTGCCACGAGCCACTACCAGATTTCCCCTTTTAAGCTTCCATTTTCCACCACCAAAATGGTTTTCATAACCTTCATCATCAAGTCTATGAACAGAAATAAGATTCAAGCGGACATCGGGAGCATACCTAACATCTTTTAGGAGCAACTTAGTACCCATCTGAGTCTCTAAGCAGACATCTGCAATACCAACAACCTCTGCAACTGCATCGTTGCCCATTTTCAATTTGCCAAAACTGCCAGACTTTAAGGATGTGAAGAATTCCTTCCTTGGAGTCACATGCAACGTAGCACCACTATCAATAACCCAGCTCTGGTCATCTGACACTGCATTAACCACATCTGCATCGGTGACAAAGATCAAATCATCAACAAGATCAGCAGTAGAAACACGGTCACCACCTTCATCCTTTTTCTCATTCTTGCCTTTAGCCTTGTTATCTCTTTTCCACTTGAAGCAATTTTTCTTGATGTGTCCTGTATTGTGACAATAATGACACTCAACATTCTTATATCTGGACTTGGACTTGCTTCTGGATTTCCCTCTGCCTCTTTGATCTCGGTTAGCATTCCTCCCCCTATGTTCTGTAACTAACACCTCTGATTGAGATGAAGAACCTTGCATCTTCCTTCTCATCTCCTCATTAAGCATAGCTGGTTTAACAGTTTGCATGGATACAATACCATCCGGGGCAGAATTGATAATTGAGACCCTAAATATCTCCCAAGACTCAGGTAAAGTGTTTAGCAACCAAAGAGCAGCTAGTTCATCCTCAAGCTTTATACCAACACCAGATAACTGATCTAAAATACCATGAAATGCATTCAAGTGATCCAACAAAGAAGTAGTTTCTTTATAAGACAAGTTCATCAAGGACTTCAACAAGTACAGCTTGTTATTACTAGATTTGGATGCATACATGGACTCGAGTTTCTCCCAAAGTGACCTAGCATGTGTTTCATTTGCAATGAGACCATAAACATTATCACCAACATATTGTCTAATAAAGCCACAAACTTGTCGGTGATCACGTTTCCATTCCTCATCTGATTTTGATTCTGGCTTCTCGATTGAAAAAACAGGCAAATCCATATCTTTCACATACAAGAGGTCTTCCATTTTTCCTTTCCATATATGATAATTTGTGCCATCCAAACTAATCATCCGGCTTGTATTTGTCTCCATCACTCAAACAAGAATATAGCACAGCAACACTAGAGTAACTGAACACGAAGAGCTCTGATACCACTCT